AACAAAGAATGTAATATAGCCAAAAATGTTTTTGAATGTGAAGAATAAAATTAGAGAATTTATGATACTTGGTTCAAGACATTTTAAATTGGCATAAAAACAAAATAGATATATCCATGGAACAGAATAAAGAAACCTGAAATCCACCCAAGTATATGGTCATTTGATTTTGGTAAAGAATACTCTTGTCTTTTCTTTAATTTTTAATTTTTTGGTACAGGGATTGAACCACAGGGTGCTTAACCACTTAGCCACATCCGAGCCCTGTTTTATTAGAGACAGGGTCTCTCTGAATTGCTTAGGGCCTCGATAAGTTGCTTAGACTGGGTTTGAACCTGTGATCCTCCTGCCTCAGACTCCTGAGTTGCTGGGATTATAGGCAGGCACCACTGTGCCCTACTAAAAATAGTCTTAGTGGTGTTCAAGAAACTGAACATCTCTAGGTAAAGGAAAGAGCCTTGGCCTTTACTTTGCCCCATATGCAAGTTATCTTGAAATATCATAAAATTTAATATAAGAGGGAGGTCCACAAAAGACCCAGAAAAAAAAAATGCAGCAGGAAAATTTTAAGACCATGGCTTAGGCAAAGAAAAAGCAGGAAACAGAAAAGAAAAAAAAAATCAATTAATTACACTAATCATAAGTTATAACTTTTGCTCTTTAAGAGATACTGCTAATAAAATGGAAAGCCAAACAGTAGATTTGGAGAAAATATTTGCAAAGCACATCTGATAAAAGGACTGGTATGTAGAATATAGAACTTTCTACTGAGAGTGGCAGATAGACATCTAGAGCTCAAAGTGAAAGGCTATCACCTATACTGATCTAACTTTTAAAACAAAGAAACCTTCTAAAAATATTCACAACATAGAACATAATTTGTATTTTCAATTCAGGATCATGTTGAATATATATATCTCTGGGTTAATTTTATTGGGTTCATATCCAAGTCAACTCTAGTCAGCCCTCTGTATTCACAGATTCCACATCTGCAAATTTTACCAACTGTGGATGGAAAAATATTCTGCAGGAAAATATGTTACACTTGTTGTTGATGTAGTTATTAGGCCTGTGATGGTGGTGTCTGTACTGAACGTGTAGACTTTTTTTTTTCCTTGTCATATTCCCTGAATAAAACTGTGTAACAATGATTTCCTAGCACTTGTGTTGCATTATATATTTTAAGTAATCTAGAGATGATTTAAAGTACAGGGGAGGATTACATAGGTTATATAAAATAACATGAAGCACTATGTTATCTTATATAAGGAACTTGAGCATTCTGGGATTTTGGCATCTGGAGAGAAGGGTCCTGGAAACAATCCCCTGAGGATGTCTAGGAACAACTATGTCTTAATGCCTACAACATGGAAGGCACCCAACAGATAGTTGCTGAACAAATATGTTGAATACTTCTTCTTACCAAGGTATTGGAGACTTCTAGAGTCCTTGAACTCAGCAGGATATGGACAGGTTTAGGATGCAAACTCTGAGAAATGGCTACATGACTGGAGACCCCTTTGGAACTCACAGTGTTTGGTGGAAGGATGGGAAGAACTGATGTTACTTGTGACTTTTTTCAGTGACTTTGCATCAAACTGCTGGCCTCTTCTCTTCCAAAAAAGTTCTCTTATTAAACCTAGCTACAATCCTCTCTGATGCAGACATTGCATATTTTTATTGCACTGGAAATTGGAACCATCTAGGAAAGACCTACAACTTTTCTGAAAATTGAATTTTTGAGTTTCCTGTTGTGATTCTGGCAACAGGGCCTGGCAGTGTCACAGGGAGAATAAGCTTGAACGTCCTTGCTTTTATGGCAGGTAGCCATTTTAGCTCACTGTTCCCAGCTGAGTTCAGCCTGGGCACTGAAGTATTATGCTCCTAATCATGCAGGAACCTGTGCATTCAATTAAAATGTGGTGTGACTTCCTGAAAACCACCAGTTAGGATGATTACATTCCCTTAACTCAATTGGGCAGGATGGCACATGTCCTAAAACTTGCTGTTGTCTCTTATTAGCAGTTATTTCTCACCACCCAAAGTCCAAGAAAACAATCCTCCCTCTGTGGTCATTATTTCTTCGGAGGACCCCTGATTCTCACCGTGTGTGTCCTCAGCATCCTGTGCACGATGCAGGTTGGGCTTGCATGTCATGATTATTGAGCAAATTTGAAAATAAGTGGGTTTGTAGGAGTCAGAGTGAGAGGAGTAGCTTGTGTAGTGAGAGGAGTGGGAAGTTAACGGACTGTAGGAGGGATGAGTCATAGTTGCTTTGAGCTTCAGAAACAGCTCAGCCTGGCCGGCTGTGGGGCCTGGCTTTGCCTTTTTAGCAAGTGAATCTATCTATATTCTTCTCCAAGAGCTAGGGCAGGAATGAGTCGGGAGGCCCTCAATAGGAGATTCCACATTTAGAAGCTGCACCTTAGTATCTTGGTTTTGCCCATGGACAGTTTGTTTTGGACTGATCATCAGGATGAACCCATGGAAGTGACCCGAAGAAGGGACTGCCAACACGACAGAGGCTGAAATACACCAAATCTCACCATCCTTGGAGAGGATCTGGAAGGATCTGATAATATTGCATTTTCAAAATTAGGATATTCTTAATGCTTTTTCATTTTTCTCAATTCAGACAAAAGTTCACATGTAATAAACTTATTCACCACACCCTTAAATGTGTTAAGAGGGAAGAGTTTATGTTAAAAAAAAAAAAGCTAAAAAAAAAAAAGAGGCATATATAACGGGTTAGGTTCCTGAACTCACTGGAAATGTAGAAGAAGAGGTGAGTAGTTACAGGTGAGTATTTGCAGGCTGGATCAACCATTCAGTATGTCAGGGACACCTTTAGGCAAGAGTTGTCCAGAGGGTCTCCTGGATCTCAGAGCCCCCTGAAGGACTCTGTGACCTATAGTCTTGGTGAGGCTATCAGGTTAGGAATAGTTGAAAAAAAATGCTGCCTTTCTCCTTTCTATCCCCCACCCCTTTCCTTTATGCTCTCAGTGTACTTCACAAAGATCTCAGATTGTCACTCTCCTTGTGGTGGAAAGATTTGATTGTAAAATGCTCTTAGCTTTTGGACAAGCATGGTAAGATGGGAATTCTCTTCAGATGACTTAGAGTTACATGAGTTAAGACAGTTGCTCTTGGGGTTCTGGTGTTCAGCTCTCAGAAACTGCTGGCTTCAGCAACATGGTGTCTGTTAAGTTGCTCAGACAAAAGAAAGATAGATGGCTACTATCTACCACTTAATAGGAAACTCTAGCAAAGTTGGCTTATTACAGACACAACTTGTTACCTGTGGAAATGACAGTAAAACCAGTCCCAGGTTCTCTGAGCAAGGATCTCGGGTTTGGGAAGAGGGTAGTGGTGCTGTGTGGTGAGGGGATGGTGCAGGGCGTGGGGGGGTGGGGGGTATCAGCTGCAGCATCTCTGTGCACCAGATCCTTTTGTGTAAACTTATATCATTTATCTCAAAGGTGACCTCAGTCAAGGACATCTTGGTTCTGTGAAAAATAAATATTTTTCTGAAAGTTGCCATTTGAGTCCCCTATGAGGGGAGAAAAATTAAATGGATGTATGTGACCACCAAACAGCATGAACGAGACCTTGCCATGTTGTTTCTGTCCTGACAGAAACAACTGCAAAATAGGAGGACTCGAGTACATAGTGGGAGACAATGACAGCCATGTGCAATATTTCTTTTCCTACTTCTGTAGAATCTTTACCCACATGTACCCCTAAAACAACTAGATAACTATTCTTTGTCAGTTAGTGTTATAGGTATTTGGTGCAAGTATCTGGAATGTGACTAACTCTGCTGTGGCCAATTCCAAATAAATTGAAAAGAAGAAAAACTGATGACCTAGCAGTATACCAGGTCTAACTAAAGGCAGTTCTAGAAGCCTGGGTAGAAGACAAAGGACACAGAATCCAACAGAAGCCCTCTGGGACCTTTCTCATCTCATGAAGTGGCCCATCTGGCTCTCAGGGGATGTACACTTTCTTCTCCTGCTGTCTCTGGGTATGAGTTGTGCTACAACCTCACAGCCAAATGTTTTTAGAATTAAAAGGGACAGCTAAACTCAGACTGATGGAGTTTTGTAAAGAAAATCCTCTTTAATGCTACAATTTTATGAATATTATGAGATTCATGAATCTATTATCTCAATGGATATTTGCTGCCAACGAGTATGGATACTACTTGTGAGTTAGGCATGCACTTCTAGACGTGGAGTGTGAGATAACAACACTGAAAAAGCCACAGTCTCTCCTGTCCTTTTGCCCGGAGGAAGGAGAACTTTGCACTCCTCTGGAATGCAGGTGTTTCCTTATTCAGAAGGAGGCCTGAAGGCTGCTTGAGCAGAGAGCTGCTCTGTCAACTCAAGAACAGTTTTTTTTTTTTTTTAATATTTATTTTTTTGTAGTTGGACACAATAAGTTTATTTATTTATTTATTTATATGTGGTGCTGAGGATCGAACCCAGGGCCTTGAATGTACCAGGTGAGCGCTCTACCGCCGAGCCATAACCCTAGCCCTCAAGAACAGCTTTTTAAAGAGCAACTCTGCTAACTTTCTGTCCCTTTCTTCTCACATTTAAATCTGACTCTTTAGGTCTGAAGCTTAATTGGAGAAATATTTTAAATTCCATTGATAGGTGGCCCTTCACTGATTCTTGGAAGTGGAAAATATTTTCCTTTTGGTCTGAAGCAGCTCCAGGGACAATGCACAACATTCAACTTTTTGAACGAAGTGATCAAACAGCTGCAGGTTATTACAGAAGCTGCAGAACATGTTATATTTAAAATGAAATCCTTACACCTTACAACAGCTGCAAAAGCATCCACTAAGTGAGGGGAAATGGCTCTCAGGAAGAGGGCCTCTGAAATGTCACACACCAGGACAAGGCCTCCTGCTGGAAGGAAGGGTGAAATTTGCCTGCATTCCACAATCACTCCATGTAAAATCTCTAATTAAATTTATTTATTTGGGTTTCCAGATTTTCTTATTCAAGCAAGCACAACGGGGTTTGTTCTCTCTCTGCCTGCTCTCGCTTTTGAAAATGCCCATCACCTGATGAACTGCAACTATGAATGAAGATGCTTATTAAATAAAGTAATATATATTTAGAATATTCATCCCTGCTGAACTTTTGTACATTAGCATAGAAATGGCTGAAAGGATAAAAGGCATAATTCTATATAGAGCATTAGTCCTAGAGCATAGAACAACCAAATTAATTATATGCCCAAGGCACACGAAGGTACATTTCTCTTACCCAGCAAAAAACAACACTCTGATCCCTAAGAATGCTATAGCTGACATTTCTCTTGACTTAATTAGATGCAAGAAAGGAACAAAAGCCACATTTAAATGAATGAAAGTGAATGCCTAATTATTTTTGTTGCAAATTATCTGCATGTTTCCAATACACTGGTATAGCTAGACAAGCCTTTTATAGGCTTGTTCTTACCCTAAGAATATAGGTGATAAAAGTGACTGCTGTTATTTTTCAGATGAGGAAACTGAGGCTCCAAGAGGTCACATGACTGAGAACTGGCAGCAAACCTCTGCACCAAAAAGGCTTTAAGTTTTGCTGCTTTCCAAATAGAATTGGTAGTTGGTCAGTGCAGCTAATTCTTGAGCATGGCAGGAAAAGGTAACAGAAAGATTTATAAAGAAGAAAAATCAATGAAAAAGGATTGAAAGGGAGTAAGAATCACTAGAGAGGCCATGTGCTCTATGTGCCTCAGGATGAAAATTTTAGGTGAACAATTATATACTAAACACTGATTTCTCAAAATATGGTTCATGAGAATTTTTCAGTTGGTACCCAAACAAGTCACTAGCCATTGCTTTTATCAGATACTTGGGACTAATCATGTCCATCAGTATCTGGGATGACCGAAGACGCGTTTCTAAATTAGAGTTAACCTCTCAGACCAAAGTGAAGATATATCAAAAGGTAATGGGTGGAGGCCTGGCACAGTGATAGATGCCTGTTATCCCAGTGGCTGAGGCAGGAGGATTGCAAGTTCAAAGCAGCCTCAGAAATGGCGAGGCGCTAAGCAACTCAGTGAGATCCTATCTCTAAATAAAATACAAAAATAGCCTCAGTGGTCGAGTGCCCCTGGGTTCATGCCCTTGTGCCAAAAAAACCCAACAAATAAATAACAAGGTAATGGGTGAAGCCAGACTAGAGAATATTGAGTAAACTGTTGACTAGGGAGGTAGCTGTGATGCAAACTAATCAATATGTTGCACCAGGACATCTATATTAACTTATCTAAGCCTAAACATAATTAAATATATTGATCTGGAGGACTATGAATGCATTGTGTTTGCTTAATCTTGCAAAGAAAAACTGTTCATAGGTGGGAGAGGGGAAAACACCAACCTTCTCAAGCAAGGAGTGGGCAGGAATTCAGCATGGAGGGTCACTAAAGTCCTCGGTTGTGGGGCAACATGCCTCCTCAGATGTCTCGGGGCCTGGAGATCCCTGTACTCTGACTTCATGCTCATCCAGCAGCCACTAGGAGAACTGGAGGACTGGGAAATACGACTGAGGATGGGTAAGTGATATTTGGAAAGACTTCCTTTCCCTTGTAGAGCAATTAACTGGCTTTCTGGTTTGTAGTGCAGGACTTTGGGTATAGTTGAGAGAGTCTGTTTCCATGGGGTAACCAATTCTGGGGTTTCTGGATCAGCCAATAAGAGCCCTGAAGTGTAGATAATATTCAGTGAAGTGTTAGTACATCTTTTGCACAACTCTTGGCAGTCCTGACAAGTCCTGTGTGCATGCCTTCTGAGGGTATTTTTAGCATGGCTTCAATATTAGCAACTATATTTGCTCTTCTTTCTCCTTATTTCCTGGTTCTTACTTCATGATTTCCCTTTCTTTCTTCCTATGTCTATTTTTTCATATTCTTACTCATTTCCCTTTACTTTCTTCTCTTTTCTCTTTAATTTTTTGTCTCTCCCATTTATTGTTTTTCTTTCCTCACTCCATTTCTTTTTTAAAAAAATTATTTAATTTTTAGTTGTAGTTGGACACAATACCTTTATTTTATTTATTTATATGTGGTACTGAGGATTGAACCCAGGGCCTTGCACTTGCTAGGCAAGCACTCTACCACTGAGCCACAACCTCAGCCCTTCACTCCATTTCTTTAGGTTCCATACTGTGTATTTCAATTATAACTACATCCATTGTTCTTCCCTACTTTCATGAGCAACTGCTAAGCTTCTGATCTATTATTTTTTTTTAATATGTATATATGTTTTAGTTGCAGAGTGTTATTTACACTGGAGTCGAAGGCCATTCCTAGTGTCAGTATCTATTGTATTGGGTTTACTAGTCAATGAATAAGATTCGATTCGCCAAGACCAGGATGGGAAGTGAAAAGCCACAGAGTGAGAACAACATGGTAAAGAAATTTAACCAACCAACAGATAGGGCTGATGTTTCCAGGTGGGAAGTAGGATAATGGATTTGAAGAAAATCTGAGACTTGATGAAAAAGGAACCAGAACAGCTATTTTTATGGTTTCTGTTCTAGTTACTTATTGCTATATAACAAACGTTAGTGGCATAAAACAACAAAAGTATTGTAGCGCGGGGCCTGATTTGGCTTAGATAGAATGTCTCCCATAGGGCTGCACTGAGGTAGTAGATGGGCTGAAATCTAGGGTTAATGGGATGTGTTGGCTAGGCCTTCAGCGGGGACAGTTGGTTGGAACACCTACATGGGACTTCTCCATGTGGTCTGGGCTTCCTTATAGCATAACAGCTGGGTTTCAAGAGCAAGCATTCTAAAAAAAAGCCAGGAGTAAACTGTATTGCCTTTTATGAACAAGTTTTGGGGTTACATGGTCTCATTCCGATATTCCATTGGTTGAAGCAATCACAAAGGTCCATTCAGGTTCAAGGGCAAGGGAAAGACACTTCACTGGTTCATGGGAGATAACAAGATCACATTGTCAAAAGATCATGTGGGATGACAGATACTGTTATGGCCATCACTGGGTGATGTAATCTGCCACAGTCTGTCCTCTGGTTTCAATGACTTTGTGCAAAATGAATCCGTCTCCTCCAGAAGACCCCCAAGTCTCTTTGCTTTATGGCATCGACTCAGGTAAAGAGTGGGGATTTCCCCCACTCTTTCTGTCGTGCAGGAATTCCTGTCCCCTTCTTTTGATTAGAAAAAGAGCATTTCTCTTGGACCCTTTTCTATCCATGCCACTTAAACAGCTCTGGATCTCCAGCCATCCTGAGCCTATACCAAATGATATGAAAGGGGAATAGCTCAGGACATTTGCAACCTTATTGGTCTTTCTTGGAGTTTTGATTTCCCTCCCCAACCCACCTGCTATTATTTCCTTTCAGAGTCCTTATTTAGTTGCTTTATGTATCCTCCCTGGAGATCTTAGATGTAATCAGAGAGAGAGATACCATGGCATCTGCTCACTTCATCTTAACTGGAACCAGATCTAGAAGCCATTTCTTAATTTTAGATTTGTTTGCCATCTGGAGAGGCTAGAAATGACAAACCATATATTTTCTAACCCAGCAAGTTTTGTCACCTTTATATTTAACGGTTTGCTCTTTAGCTCATCTCTGTTTTCCCTTATTTTATTGCAGAGAGCTAGAAGTCAAGTGGGACTTTCAACACTGTGCCTGGAGATCTCCTTAATTAAACCATGCAGTTCATCATTATATTTTCTATTTTTCCCAGTTATCCCAGGTTTCAGTTAAACTTCATACACTTTAAGTTTTTATTATAGCAACTCCTGTATCAGTTAAAATTTGATCAGAGAGGCAAAGCCGCCTTCAACAAAACAAGGAATTTATTGTAGGGATTATAATTTATGTGGTTAGAGAATCTGGTAAAGCAGTCTGTGGAACCTGTCATTACTGTCCAGACTTGTGCCTGGGGTCAGCAGGGCTAGATCTATGGGAAAAGAGGGTAAGATGGATGTGAAGTAGGAGATAATAATCACACACTGGCATCTGCACAAATGAGATGGGACCCATGTGGGTAACCTGGAGCCAAGGCCTGCCAATATTGGTTTTTCATGCCTCCAACCCTCCACCTTTGGTGATGTAGACAACCTGCAGAAGAGCGGGTGCATTTCAACTTGGAACTGCTCACTAACCTTGCCCAGGATTCAGGAAAACTGAAGAGGGGTTCTAGTGGGAGTTGGAGGAAATATAAGCCTAGCCACTGTCCTGTGCCAATAACATGAGCCAGTAGATGCACAGTATTGTATGTGACTGTAACAGCACCTGGCCCTACACTGGGGGTGGCAGGGAGGTAGGATACTGGGGAATTGAACTCAGGGGCACTTGACCCCTGAACCACATCTTCAGCCCTGTTTTGTATTTCATTTAGACACAGGGTCTCACTGACTTGCTTAGCACCTAGCTTTTGCTGAGGCTGGCTTTGAACTTGCGATCCTCCTGCCTCAGCCTCCCAAGCCACTGGGATTACAGGAGTATGCCACTGAGCCCAGCTACACTGTCTTTTTTTTTTTTTTTTTTTTTTTAACAGCAAACATTGTTGCTATTTCACTTCTGCCTCTAAAATTTTGCTCAGAGTTTTTGGGAGACACAATTCTACCCTAGATATATTAACACAATACAAAGCCACCATAGTCTCAAAACTCCTGTCTAGAAATTACTAGTGCAGACAAATGCACAGTATTTGTCCATCTGTAATGATAGAGACTTGCTATTTGAGAATTTATATGAATCGTGTATATTAGTCCATTTCCCATTGTTATAACAAAACACCTGAAGTTGGGTAATGTATAAAAAAAAAGAGGTTTATTTAGCTCATGGTTTTGAAGGCTGAAAGTCCAAGATCAGGCAGCTCCATCAGTTTGGCCTCTGGTGAAGGTCTCATGGTGGATGGCATCACCATGGTGGGGATGTTTGCAAGAGCAATGATATGGTGAGATGGGAAGCCAAAGACCGTGGAGGAGCCAGTCTTACTTTTTTTTATAACAACCCACCTCATAGGAACTCACTCACTTCCAGAGACGAGCATTAATCCTTGCCAAGGGCAGCATTCCCAATTATCTGATCACCCCATCCAGGGCCCACCTCTTAAAGGTGCTACCACTTCTTAATATC